TGATATAGACCTTAATGGGCATCACCGCGCATAAGGCATGAAACATCCCTGAATGGCCATCTGTGTAGCCTGTTCTGGTGCGGTGCCTGACTCACTGTCCCAGTTCAGGACTGAAGCAGCACTAATAACAAGCTGTTACTGTTAGCACTATCAAGTATCAGAGCTCAGCGCAAACCAGATGCCCCAGTTTTGACAATCTGGAATTTGGAGAACCGAGGAACTATGACTTTAGTTCCTAGCACGTGATAAATCCTGCCTTGGGAAGCCAGAAGAAATCTAAGCCTCTGTCTTCTGTTGTGGTTAGATAAATCGCCCAAGTGATACTGTGATTCAGGAAATGGCCACCATAATTTTCAAACCAAGTCTGTCAGAAGTTAATTAATTCCTGTGGGATTAATTGCAGTATGAGAGCTTCAGTGAGGATGGTGCTGCTATACCTTCCAGGGCAACTGGCGTTCTGTGGTTAGGCTCTTGATTTTAGTAGGCTGTTTCCCGAAGTGCTCTTGGTGCTCTCAGAAGTAGTCCTTGGGTGAGCCAGCAGTGTAAGCCAGTGGCAGCTCATGAGATGGCAATTTTAGAAGCAGAGTAGCAAGCAACTTGTGAGGAGATATGGTGTGGGGGTGAATGTTACCAACCCATGGGCTGAGCAAAGAAACATCCTGGGAGGTGCGAGGCTTTATGGAGAACTGACCTAAGATTTGCTTATTGGCAGAGAGCAAACAGTGCCTGAACGGTCATTGCAAGAGGGTTGTAGCAAAGCCTGAGGGCACAAGAGGGCAAAACCCTTGTTGAAGAGACTGCTGGCGACTGAACAGCTCGCCATTTCCATGAGCATCCTGGCCTTTCTTTAGCAGAGTCGTCCACCTAATAACTCACCATGCAGAGCTTGTGAAGCCACTGACCACAGGAACTTCCACCCAATTTCATGCCACCTGAATTTGTCACAGTGCCCCCATTCTGCAGCAGCATCCCTGGGCTAGCAGGAGAGCAAGGCGGCTGCCAGGCACCACAGGCAGTGGTCGTCAGCATACACAGAGGGGGATCATTTGCCATGAACAAAGTTTGTAAGCACAGCTCAGTTTAGAAAAAAATACTTGCAGCCTACCTTTCAGACAGAAGGACGTCCTGTTTTTGTCCACTGACTAGCTGCAGTGTACAGAAGGAAGAGAGGGTCCCTTCAGTTTGTGAGACCTCTGCCCCTCGAGGGGCTTGCATGGCAATGTGCCTTTTCCAGATGTGCTCTCTGTGTAGCATGCTTTTTCTCAGCAGTCTTTCCTGGAGTCTTCAGGAGGAGACCCTGGGCTGTCAGGGGTCTGCAGACCACAGACTGAGGACTCCTGTTATAGAAGTGTCCAGAGCTCAGAGGATCAAACAACATGCTTACATTGTCAGCCTGTGCATGGTGCATCTGTTCAGCTTTCCAGCTTGTTTTTCTTGCCGTGGGTTCTTCAGTTGGGTTTATGCAGTTCCTATACCTTTTATATACTATATTAACAGCAAAAGCTGCAACAACAGAAACCTCTTTTTAAAACCACCTCTTCCTGGTGTGCAGTTACACCTCTGGGCCAATCCAATCTTCCCTCTTCCTGCCGCGCTGAAATGGTCACCGTGGGGATCGCTAGCTCAGTGCATGGATGTTCATAGCAACCTTTCACAGCTAACATGCATTGGGCTGCAAAATCCATTAGCTTCAGCCCTGTAAAAAGTAGACTTAAAGTATAGTGGATATAATAAAATTATAGTGGTATCATAAAAATGTATTATTCTTTCATAAAGGATGTTAACCGTCTGAACATCTATAAAAAGGTTCTCCATTAATCCTCTACTTTCAGTTCCTGCCTGTGGGGCTGTGCCTCTCCCTTTTAAGAAATGCATACTGCGTGTCTTCACTTAACTCATGGTATTCATCAAGATGCACCCGCCTTTGATCCACCGAAGCAACAGGGCCTGATTCTGTTGTGCCTAACAGGGAGTAGAAAGTGGGTGTGAGTGGAAAATCCTACTTGGTTAGCATTGCCTGTCCTGCTTGCGCAGACACCCATGGTGGTGTGACACACCAGCAGCACAGAGTCAGGCTGTATAGGAATAGGACAGGTTATTCCCCTGCTCCTGAGTCAACTAACAAAGGAAAAACCTTTGCCTTTGTCACCCTCCCACTGTTTCTGCAGCAAGGTAGAAGGTGCTGTGTTACTCCCTCTCTATTACTGGCTCTGTGTGGCAGTACATTTTTAGCTCTGAGCAACCTTAGGGTGACTTCATGTTGGTGCCCCTCCTGCAGCATCTGAGTTTTCAGCGCACAAACTCATGGGAAATCACCAGGGAAGTGCCGTGTTTCATCTTTCTTAAATTCTTCACATTTTGTGAAAAACACCAAGTTGCTCTTAGCCAGAAATGGTGGCAGCATGTCACTAGGACAAGCTATTTTTATCCCCTTTCTTTATTTGTTTTCTAGCGTATTCAACTAAGCTCAACAAGTTTCCCGTCTTTAATTTTGATGACGACCTCAAGTACCTGTGTATCAGTGCTGTGAGCCCCAACACCACCAAGGCCACCCTCTGTGCTCTCAACGTGTGGAGATACTGGTGCATGACCAAAGGACTCAGAGATTACATGGACATCACTAAGGTCAGAAAACTTAGCAAAGTACTGTTTTTTCAGTGGTGGGAGCCAGCCCCCCTGGTCAAATGAAGTTATCATAAAGTTTGAAAAGAAATGGGATTTCAGCCTTCTTTACATCCTTGTGGTCTTGGGGACCTTCCAAGTCTCTCTTAATAAAGCTGTAACCTTTTCTAATTCACACCCTGTTGCCTTTATGGTTGAGCCAGTGCCTTGGAAACCCAGGGTGATACTAAAGATTTCCATGTACATAACACTTGTACACAACCTTGGCCTCATGCTGCCATATGACAAGATTTCCTGTTGTTACCCTAAGGACGTACTGTTCGCATGATTTCTGCTCCCAGAGCAAGCCAATGCAATTCAGAGCATTTGAGGACTTTTCTGCAAAAATGAACTCCCAGCAAAATCAGTGTACACACCAAAAATAAGGACTGTGGTTGAGGGCCAAAGTACAAAAAGCGCCACTCACATTTTTATAGTAAGTTTCTCTGTTAGGTTGGTTGGTCTGGCATTGACAGGCTAAAGCAGTCTGACTGGCAGCCTGACTGCAATACTGACATCTCATGGCCAAAAGAAGAAGCTGCTGCTGCTTCTCCTTTTTCTCCTTGTCCTCCTCCTCCTTCTTTCTCTTCCTCCTCTTCCTTGTTCGCCTGAAAAGTTTTGATATGTACCACATTACTGCAAAAGTACAGAGTATTACACCCAAGTGGTAGGTCACACATTTGCACACAGTCACACCTCAGTGTGACTGAAACCTTCATTCACTTCAAAAAAGCCAGGAATTTGGCTCCTTTCTTCTGAATCTGGATTTCTACAGCTGGTGCAAAAGTGGTGCCAGCCAGTGAAATGGATCTCATGTCTGAGATCCTCACACCATGGGGTTTCATTGCACCTCTTTTTATTAGATAAACATGTAGCCTCTTCCCAAGACTCTAAGGCTGCCCAGAAACAAACTTCTGGGGAAGCGTGGAAGCTGCTGCAGGTTTCTTCAGACAGAGCACAGAGAAGCCCTAAACGTGTCTTCCCACCTTGCAACACATTTCCTTTCCATAAACACCTTGACACATCTTTCCCCTTCCTCTTTTTCCAGATCCCAGCAGTGAAACTCAATGAACTCCTGGGGGACTTTTACATCACCGTGAAGAAAACAGACAGGTCTGACTTTCTAGCCACATCCCTCCACACTATCTGATGAGGCCTGGACCGGATCCTCAAGAATGCTGGTGCTGGTTTCTCCATCACCAGCAGCACCTTCAGCTCTTGCACCAGAAAGCTCAAGGAGAAGCTTAAGGTCCTAGCAAGGCTGGGATGTCTGGTACCTGCTCGCACAACGTTGTCTACTTCTCCCTTTCTGACGAGGAAGAGATGTGGCGGACGGGATGCCTGGGAGATGACAGCCCCATAGCCCTGCTGTCCACAGTGGCAAAATACAACAGGCAGTACCTGAACATGCGAATGTTACAGGAGCACAGAGACTTAATGTTTGGTGACATTGAATTGCTCGATGACTCCCAGAACAGGCCGTATTTTGCCAGAACAGATAGCGTGAAGCAAGAAAACAGAGTGAATGTGAACAGAGCGTGTTACGGCCAGATCTACCACAGCCACTCAAAAGGGCACAAGCTCTGCCCATACTGCCTCCTCTACAAGTACGTGTACGTACACCAGCCCCTGACACAGATGGAGGCCAAGTCTCCCTTCTACCTGACAACCCGGAGGAAGGTCGGCGGCATGGGTACGAGGAGCAGAGGAGGGGCTCCGCTCCCTCAGGGCTGTTGTCCCCAAGCTGGCGAAGAAAGTGAAGCTGGAACACTGCAAAAATTTTACTTTTGTCTCCTTCACTCAGGCTTCCAGGAAGTTTGTCCCTCTTAGCTCCTGCCAGTAACTCTGCCCTCTGTCTGCTCTCACCAGCCAGCGTCCCAAGAAAGTGCTTCGCCCGGTAGCGTTAGTGTGATGTGAAGAGGGTGAACTGCTTTCAAACAAGAGCAAAAAGTGGAAAGACAGGACATTAAATTCTTCCTGAGGAGGACTGCACATGGTGCCGTCCCATTTTGGGGCTGCATACAGCCTTGCTCTGAAAAGCAGGGTGGCAGCGGTCTCCTTCACCACTGCCAGCTCTTCCAAGCATAGAAGAGGTGGTGGACAGCTTTTCCTCATCAGAAGCAGCACCGCGTGTATCGTGGATTTTTGTGCTTAGCAAGCATAGCTAGGAGAAGGGAGAATGAGGTTTAAGGACCAAGAACTCTTGAAGCAGAAGTGCCTATGCTTTCTTTCAGAGCTACTGTACAAAAGTTACTCTCTTGTGAACCATATTTTTTGATAGTTCACAGTTTTCTCCACTTGTTTGGTGTATTGTAAATATAGATATTTTTCAATACCTGGTCATTTACACTGCATCTGTAGATACTGCTAGAAACTACTATTGGCTTTACCAAATAACAAACAAACAGATTAAATTAATTACAGCATCCCCAAAGGACAGCACTTCCAGTTGGAGCTGTGGCAAGCCTTTAAGTCACAAAAAAGAAAACCTGGAAGACCTAGAACAGAGTTGGGGACATGCAATTTGACAATGTGCAATCTGCTTCTATTCTAATGGAAAGATATGGATGGATTTTTTCCACCGGGTTGCAGGGCTGTGAGAGGATTGATGAGGTTTACCGAGCCCACTATAGAGTCAATGATTTCCTGTATGACACCTTGAAATCACAGCTTCGGTCCAATGGGTGCATGATTGCAAAGATAAAATAATGACATTTAGTTGTACTTTTTTTGAAAGACAGCTTCTCCCTCCCCCAAACTGCTTGAATTCTCTTTTTGTAAAATATTAGTTTGATTTGTAGGATCTCTGTGTTGTAAAATATAGTATTGCTCCTGTCTTTTAAATGCTTTTGCACAGCACTATTTTAATTTTAAGAAAGTAGTTCGCTGGATAGTGAAACACAGAGTAGCATCAACTTTAGCAAGGGAAATATCTGCTGGGAAGAACTGCTACCTACAACCCTCACAGGCTGTGGACATTATTTCCCACTGTCAGGGTGTTTTTTTAAGAGTCTGATCCTGGGAAGCCTTGGCAGCCTTTGCTGGAGGAGGCAGAGGATGTTCAGGGTTTCCAGACAAGCTCATGTGATGGAAATAGGAGCTTCTGCCTAAACAGGGTTTCAGGTGTGCACTGTGAGCACTGCTCCAAGAGGAAAAATGTTATTTGTCATCACTTTCTTTTGTTTCATGGGCGATGGTAAAGGGCATTCCCTGTTAAAAAAATACCATTCTGAGTCCTGCAGAGCAAATCACCAGTTAAGACTGAGGAAAAGCAGAAGCTGGGCTGGGGTAGGGTTTATTTATCTTTGAATCATAGAATCATAGAATCGTTAAGGTTGGAAAAGACCCTTGAGATCATCGAGTCCAACCGTTAACCTG